GTAATGAAAAAAGCGGACACTACAAACCATTGTAGTCTGAAAAAGCGGACACTATTAACTTTTATAATGAAAAAAGCGGACACTACAAACCATTGTAGTCTCAAAAAGTGGACACTACTAACTTTTGTAGTCTCAAAAAGCGGACACTATTAACTTTTGTAGTCTCAAAAAGTGGACACTATTAACTTTTATAATGAAAAAAGCAGACACTACAAACCATTGTAGTCTGAAAAAGCAGACACTACTAACTTTTGTAGTCTCAAAAAGCGGACACTACAAACCATTGTAGTCTGAAAAAACAGACACTACTAATTTTTGTAGTCTCAAAAAGCGGACACTATTACTTTTGTAATGAGAAAAGCAGACACTACTAATTTTTGTAGTCTTTGTCTGACCTTTGTGGTCTATGCCCAACTTTTGTAGTCTATGTCCGACTTTTGTAGTCTTTTTTGTAGTCTATTAGTAAACTTTGTAGGCTATAACTTACTTTTGTAGTCTGTCAGTGTCAATTACCCTTTTAGGGCATGTACCTTCCTTTTTGGGAGAAATTTCCCACGATACAATAGTTGTAGCCCCTTCTCTTAGCTTTCTAAATCTGTTGAAATCATGTTGTTTAGTGTTCTTTTCATGAAGAAAAATGCAAAAAACAAAAAAAAACGCGGCACTTTTGAAAACCTTTTACCTTATATCTCCACAATGGAAGCACTTTAGGACATAATTCCAACTGATTCTGGAAGCTATGGTAAAGAGCTACAACTTTTGTTTGTTTACCATTTTTGGAAATTTGTCATGTGACTACCCTCCCAATGACCCATTGGATGGACCATAATAGCTATTTCATTGCTATCATGGAATATAATGAAAAATCATAATGATATCCCTGGGGGCAGATATGAAATTGGAATGAAATATTGAGATACTCAATGAAAAATCCCAATGAAAGCTGTGGAATATTCAATGAAAGTGCACATCATTAATTATGAAAGAAGCAATGAATACATATAACCTAGCTAATGAAATATTTATTGAAATGCATAATGAAAGCACCCAGAATTGATAATGAAATATTCAATGAAAGCGCACAGCATTAATTATGAAAGAGGCAATGAATACACCTGACCTAGGGAATGAGATATTTATTGAAATTGCACAACATTAATTATGAAGAGTACAATGAAAGCATCCAATATTCCTAATGAAATATTCAATGAAAGTGCACACAATTAAATATGAAAGAGGCAATGAATACACCTGACCTAGGGAATGAGATATTTATTGAAATTGCACAACATTAATTATGAAAAGTACAATGAAAGCATCCAATATTCCTAATGAAATATTCAATGAAAGCGCACACCATTAGATATGATAGAGGCAATGAATACACCTAACATAGTGAATGAAATATTTATTGAAATCACACAGGATTAATCATGAAAAAAGCAATGAAAGTGCCCAAAATTCCTAATGAAATATTCAATGAAAGTGCACACCATTAATTATGAAAAAGGCAATGAATACACCTAACCCAGTGAATGAAATACCTATTGAAAGCGCACAGGTTTAATTATGAAAAGCACTCTGTGGCCTTGCCTATATCTTATGAAAAGAACATAGGTTTTATGAGAAAGAAAACACAGGACACATCTATGAAATGCCTTTCATAAAACTTGTGGACTTATACACACAGCTCTGCAGGCAATTGCCTTAGTTTTATCATAAAAGTGGTAGCCACCAGTCGCATCAACACATTCATTGAACATCCCGACAAAGGCGACCCCCCGTCCTGGTGGGTCATTACTACTCCGAACGCGGGCTACATCCTGACCGCTCCCATCGGCATTCGTCATATTCAAGCGAAGGCGGATGGCCACTTTGGACTGGACGACTGCACCCTCCACCCCCAGATGTACGTCAAAAGTTTCGAGTATATCTGCTGCATCCCCATACGCGATCAGTCTCGCCACATGTTGTGGTGGACACCCAATCCCGAAGATTGCCCTATCATTCCCAATTCGCCTTTCTCAGTCACTATTCATGTACTCAAGCCGGAACTGTTGAACGGGTACAAGGATCTCCGCGACAAATATGTTGGTCTGATCGGAAAACGTGAGGGACGCGACCGCTCCCCTCTCGCGGGTCTTTTGGTCACTGCGATGTGTCAAGCTCTCAATAGGCTTCGTTCATTTGGGATGACCTACAAGGAGATATTGCTGGCCGTCGCAGAGTTCCAAAGAGCAGTCCTTGACATACACGCATGGATCAATTTTATCGACGTTTATCAACCACGTCTTTTTCCCAGTCCCAATGGCGTGGTCAAGTACGAGGCCAATCAGAAATTGATGGGAGCATTTACGGAAAAGGTCCAGGTCGCTCAACAACTCCAAGCGATGGGAATCCCTGTGTGGTTAATCCGCCCTTCATTCCATATCCTCCCAACCATGAATGTCAACTTCTCAACCCCCCAGCTACATTGTGATAAGATTGTTCTGCACCATTTCAAG